AAACTAATTAAATTTGCATATTTTATAAAAACCATTAATTTATAACGAAATTACTTGTTGTTTAACATTTGTCTTTGAATTTATTTATTTTTGGAAATAATTATATTTTATAATAGTAAATTCATAGTAATATTATAACTCATTATATAGTTATTAAAAATGCCGCGGACACGAAAATAATAGAAAGGACACCATATACACATAAAGGACGCCCTTTATAGCGGGAGGACATCCCTAAACCACAAAGGACGTCCTTCGGCCTATATTCCCGTCCTTCGTCCCCATGTCCGTCCTTTCTCTTTATTTGTGTTACTTGATTATAAAAAATAATCTTTAATAATTAATATCAACTCTAAATTATTAAAGTATTGATATTAAAACAAATTTGTTTAATATGAATCAGGGTATCCCAAAATAAGCTATTGAGCCCAAAACTGCAGAATTTTATATGAAAAAACTTGTTTTTATTTTTTTTAATGCAAACCGGCGGGAAAAAATACCCAAAGATTGTTTTTTCAACGAAAAAAAATATTTCCCGATTTGTTGCGTTTTTTTTATTGAAAAAATATTTGTTAGAAAAAAAATGATGAAAATTCTCATAAAAAAGTCAAAAAAAATTCCATTTTACAATCAATTTTACAAGATTGAAAACTTTTTTCATATTAAAATACATGAAATTAACGATTAAAACATCAATAAGATGTTTGTAAGATGGAACAAAGATGTTTATATCAATGATGTAAAGATGATAAAAAATATCTTTTATTTTATTTCAATTTGTTGTTACACATATAATGAAGATGATGCATAAACGATGAATTGTGTTATAACACAGAGTAGACATTGCACATATTAAACAAAAAAATAATTTTAAATACCAAATTTTTGATTTTTCAACACTAAAGTTTTCAAAATAATAATTCGTATTGAAACTCAAAAGAGAATAAATTGTCATAATTAATCAGATAAAATTTTGTTCAATTTTCATAAAGTTGAATTAAATTTGTCGGTAATAATAAATTTTGTCATTAATAATGGATTCATGTATATTTTTTGGACAATTTTGTAAACAAATTTAATAAATGAATAATAATATAAACGTTTTGTATCGATATCATGATTAAATTTATCAATTTATTTAACAACTTGATTTTTTGTCAATAAGATATTTATATACAATTGAATAACAATCATTTTAAATTATGTATTACAATTTATACACAAATGATCATATTTTAAAAACACCAAGTTCAAATGGTAAAAATTTAAAAGTTTTAAAGCAAAAATTACAAAACAACTGTGATAATTTATGTTATTATACTTCTACGTTGTTTATGAGTTAATAAATATAAATTAATTAAACTTAAATATTTTTAGAAAACATGTAACGTCAAATTCAATCAAATTTTTTACACATAGATTTCAAATTAAGTATATATGCATTTTTTGTATTAGAAAATACATAATAAAACATTTCAATTGATGTTATATCTTATTTTTTTAGAAGTTGAGATATAAAACAATGCTAGTATCGTGAACATTGTTATTTATAATATTTTTCGAAACAACGATTTAAAATGAATGTTAAACTTAAAACTTCGTTTTTAATAATCACATCTTGAAAAAAATATTAAATATTTAGGCAAAATAATAAATGTATATTTATGTATCATAAATAATTTTAAAACAAATAAATAAAATAATATTAACAATTTGACACAGAACAACGTCCTTGTTTTTTAATTGACATGTTATTACTAATATATCAATTCAATTTTTGATGATTTCCCCTTATGCTTTTTTATTTTTATACACAAAATATAAACTTTTTAAAAACCAAATTGTTTGATAAACTAGAGTTTTCATGTTTTTTAGACCACTTGAATTTTGTTCAATGTTGTTAAAATATTGCATTTTAAAATTGTGTAACTAAACATACAAAACTTTTGAATAAATTGACAAAAAGTGTTGATGAATATTTGCGTTTAAATTATTACAATATTACAAAAATGAAATATTATAAGCAGAATTATTCCAATTGTTACTTTTACAAAAATTATTTAGTAACACACAGAAAAACGTTGCTACGTATTATACATTACTAATTAAATTGAATATATTGTTATAAAAGAAATACAACTGTATTAAGAATAAGATAAATTAATTATTTACAATAAAACCTCTCATTAACAAATCACCCAATTAGAAACCTCTCTTAAAGAAACATTTCAGCAAATCAAAACTATAATAAAACTTATTGAGGGGAAAGGAAATAAATTATTTCATAACCATTATTGAAGGGTTTTATTTTCCCAGTTAATCTACTAATGAGAGGTTTTGGTGTATTCTTCCTTTTTCAATTTTAAACAACTTTTTTTTGAAAATTACATTAAACATTTAGTTTTTTATTTTAATATTCTTTTTCAACTTTTTCCTTTTAAACAAGTTTTTATTTTTCCTTTTCAATTTAAAAAGTACAAAAAGAATAAAAAGAAACATATTATATATATAACCATTCAATTGATCTATTAAAAACACTTGGTTTATAAACATTTAAATGTTTAATATGTTTGAATTTGAAACAACAAAGAAAATAAATTATAAATGTGTTTTTATTTTTGTTCAAAATTAGTTTTTAATATAATTAAAATTTGAATAAATTCCAATTTGGCTTCATTAAAACACTTTAAATAATAATGAAAATGTTGAAAATAGCTAACAATTCATTAATAATTGTCAATTAAAGTAATTTTATAATCTATATTAATGTTGATATATTAAATTGTAAATTGTTGTTAGTGTATTTTATTAATAAAAATGTCAAACAAAAAATAATATTGATACATTTGTTATTACATGGAGACATAATATTATTATTTTTTATTTAACCAAATGTAAAATATTATTTGAAAAATTTTTTGAACGAAAAACAAATATATGTATTTATATTTTTTTATCTGTTATGTGATCTAAAGCCAAACAACAATAAGAATTTAATATTTTGATTATAAAAAAGTTTTCACATAAAGTTAATTTTTAAATTGAAAAAACAAAAATAATTAAGTTGATTGAATAATGTATTTCAAATTAAAACAAAACAATAATGTGACATTTTCAGAAAATATAAAAGATATTCGTATATTATTATAATTATCATTAAATTATTGTTAACATAAAATGATCATACACTCAGTTTTGAATTATTTAAGTTGTGGTTGTTATTCTTTTTAAAAATTTAGTTTGTAATTTTCGTTTAAAGGGGGTTAAAACAAAATTCTTAAATGTATTACAATTTTTTGGTTTCTATATTTGAAGAGATAAAAACGTGGAAGATCATAGTTATTGGTCAATCATTACAATACGCTTTTTTATAATATATCATAGAATTTATATTTTAAAACTAAATTGTCACTTAGTTGTTATCCATAAAAAGACTATATCAATTCAATTTAGTTATATATTAATATTTCAACAACTTAAGTAAATATTACATTTAATGATCATGCCTAATTATAAATTGTTTTTTTTCATTGTGTTGTTTGAAAATATTTTATATTGTAAAAACAAATTAAATATTTTTTAAATTATTATTAAAAATTTTGATATTTTAAATATATAAAAAAGCTTAAAAACAGAAAACAATTGTTCAAACCAAAAACAATTTGTGTTGATTATTTTCCAGCAATAATATAAAAACATTTTAGTTGTGACTATTCGTTTTATATATCACATTTAAGTTATTTGTGAATAATTTAATTTATAAACTTTTTTAAATTGTTGTATATAATGTTTATTATTTCTAAAAAAACATTTAAAATGTATGCTATTTTTATTAAGTCCATGAAATCGTCATTAAAAATTGCAATTACTTTAACTATGGCATGTTAACTCTTTTATGTATTTGAATTCCGTGAAAATGTTTTAAGAAGAACTGTAATAATAAAATAATACAAGAAAAATTGAATTTAAAATTGAATTTGTATGATAAACAACGAGTTAATTTTCATTTGATTTACATTTAAATGTATTTGATTAAAAACAGATTTTACTGTACATATTCAACAATTT